AAACCTATCCATTCTAAAGGAAATCAACCCTGAGTGCTCACTGGAAGGACAGATGCTGAAGCTGAGGCTCCAGTACTTTGGCCATCTCATGAGAAGAGAAGACTCCCTGGAAAAGACCCTGATGTTGGGAAAGTGTGATGGGAAGAGGAGAAGGGGACGATAGAGTACAAGATGGTTGGAGAGTGCCACTGAAGTGACCAACATGAATTTGACCAAACTCTGGGAAGCAGTGGAAGACAGGAGGGCCTGGCATGCTCTGGTCCATGGGGTCACAAAGAGTCGGACACGACTTAACGACTAAACAACAACAAAGCCATACTTGATTGTCATGAATGGATGTGAATGCTGGGCATTGAGGGGAAGCCATTTGGGGGTGGGGGTGAGGGTGGGGAGATGGTTCATTTAAAATGTGGTGTTGGAGGAAAGCATTACACATACCATGGACTGCCAGAAAGACAAAAAATTGAGATTAGATCAAATGAAGCCCAAAACCTGCGTAGAAGCTAAGATGAGAGAAGACTTAATGGAAAAGACAATGCTGGAAAAAGTGGAAGGCAGCAGGAAAACAGGAAGACCCAATATGTGATGGATTGATTCAAAAATTATAGAACATTTTGGAGATTCATAGGGTCACCATAAGTGAGAGGCAACTTGACACTCTATAAGAAGAACAGCAATTAGCTCCAACCACGAACAAAGGAAACCTTGCATATGCCCATTCACACACACATCATGTTGCCAAACCAGCAGCTTCCCATCCTCTGAGATTCCATGGCCCAAACAGGAGATTGATGGGTGGGCCCTTGTGAAGCCACAAAGGTTGGGCCCTTGTGCCACAGTACACTGCACTGCACAACACTGCCCTGTGCATGAGAGACAGACAATTGCCTTATGTACAAATATTATCTCCACAACACACATGGAAACAATTTCACATGGAAGCACTAAACTCTGGGAAGGAGATGAAAACCCCCATTTTTTATTATTTTTTTATTTTTGCCATACACTATAAAATCAAACTGCTTGTCTTTCAGAACTGCTTAGCCCTGAGACCTGTCCCCACTGGAAGATCTGGAAAGTACAGCATTTTCCTGTGACGTCAACCAGAGCTGTGAGACCTGGCAATCCTATATGCTCGTAGCCACTCACTCACTTGGCTTTTAGTGCCAGTGATCCCCACCTCTCACCCTCACCCTTAAGATAATCATTGGCTCTGCTGAATAAAGTGTTCCTTTGGGCAGTCATTAAAAGCAGCTATATGTAATGTGGAAAATACTGGGCTGATTAATACTTAAAATACAATAGAAGCATATGTAGAGCAGGTTTCTAGTAGTTCTACTCATGATTATTTTAAGCTGACTTAATGATCAGTGGTGTGTCTTGTCTGGGAGTGCATTATAAGAACAACTTAAATTGGCTGAACTGAGTTGTTAAAGAGAGAAAGGTTAAGCAGGATGGGCAGAAAGAACATGCATTTTTTATAGATAATAATAGATTTTGTTAATCTCTACTGGAAATGAGTTGTCTTTCCACGGCATATTCTTTTCTGAAGCATTATGTACATATTTTACTAGCAGGAATGGGCTTTTTAGACTATCCAGTGGTCTCTGAGTTTTATGTCTGTAGGCCTATAAGAACCAGGGAATCCTTTCAGCATGAGATTTTGGGAGCCCATGTCCTGAGATGCATTATGTCTAGTTCTGGAGCTTTGTTAATCTATACAGTATGTATCTTTCAGAACAGCATGTAGACAGTACAATGAGAGCAGAAGGGCATGCCTAATTATTAGGGGTCAATCTTAACATTAACCCAAACATCCTGGCACAACAAGATAGTATTGGGCATCTGCTCTCTGCCTACCCACCTGTCCCTCCCAGATGAAAATCAAGGGAAATCTTTTTAGAACATTTGTGAATCCTGGAGGAACTGCAGAGAATGCCAGGACTGTAATGTGGAAAGAAAGAACTACCCACCTCTTGTATTGGATGGAGTTCCAGGAATGTCTAGCCCCCAGTCACATAAGGAACTGGAAGTCACTTAATAAGCTATGGATTTAAGTTGGCATAACACTAAACGGTATAAAGCCCTAAACGGTTTAGGACCTCGAAATCTGGCAGAGCACCTCCTCCCAACCAGTTCTGCCAGTCACTCATTCCAGCCAGGCTGGGCGGCTGAGGGACGTAACACCAAGGGAGGTCTGGAAGGAAAGAATGAGGAACCGGGCCTTCTTGGCAGTGGCCCCTCGCCTCTGGAACAGCCTGCCCGTGGAGATCTGTCTGGCTCCCTCTCTGGGTGTATTCAGAAGAAAAGTCAAGAACTGGCTATTTGGGGAGGCTTTCCCTCCTACTGTATCTTAAATTTACATTTTGCCATCTTGGATTTATAGTATATATTTATTGGTTTAACTGTTTTTAAATTTGTAATGCCACCTAGAGTAGACCTTTGGTCTAGATAGGCGGGGCAGAAGTCCAATAAAATAATAAATACAAATAATAAATAACCAAAGTGAATTTAATAAAATTGAGCTTTTGCACTGAAAATGTCCATTACAAATGTGGAGAAGAGCATGCTTCATCATACCTGTGTCAGAGTACATGCCACTTGACATGTCTTATGAAAGACTTGATGTTAAGCTGTCTTCACATGCTTTTGATGTTGCCCATTATTGGGCAAAATTTATCTGGCATATTTTTATTTGTACTGTGAGACCTCTGAGGGTTCAGCTAGACAGGATTTAACTGGCTTGCTTTGAAGTTTTTAAAACCATCCCTAGTATTTTCCGCTGCCAAAGTCACTCTAGCCATCCGCACCAATAGGATAAATTACCCCATTGCAAAAGTTTACACTGCACTTTTCAATTGGTTCTATTTCCCCCAGAATCACAGACCCACTCAAATAATTACCACTCTTTCCCCCACTCCTTCCTTCCATCACTCCCCCTTTAGTCATCCTTTCAGGTCAGCTGCTGTATCTGTCAGATGTCTAGGGTTTAAGTGCAAACGTCAGGAAGAATTAATCCTCATTTTCTATATGACAATGACAACTTTTGTGTTCCCACATAGTGCAGAAATATAATATTCACATTTCTGCTGTGTATTACTTGGCATCTATCTATCTCTCTCTTTCTCTCTTTTTGAAGTGACAAAGCACTGCATTTATTTAACAGTTTATTCTCCTCAGTAGACTAGTTTTGTCAATTTCATTCAGTTCCCAGCAAAGCTTTCAAATCATGCAAGAAGTGGGAGGGGAGGGAAAGAAAGAAGTTGTCAAAAGTAGCAAGAAACATTAACTATCTTGGTGGGTTTCATCTCAGTCCTAGGGAGGCTTTCCCATAAAAGCCAGAAAATAGGAAGGGGTGTGTGTGTATTTCCCAATTGATTTCCAGAGCACGTAAGCTAGTCACCCGTACCAGTATAAGACCTATCTGACACAGTGCTAAACTTGACAAGTTTATTTTAAAAAAATAGTACAAAAATTGTTTGGAGAAAAAACAGCAGACACTCATTTGTAATGACATGCTGCATCCCCTGGAGACATCACTATCAACGCCTCTGTAGAATATGCCCCCAACTCCCATTCAGAACCGAGACAAGCAGTCATAAATGCCAGAAAGGAAAAGAAGTAATGTCAGCTGAATCTGTCCAAAATAAGGAAGCCTTTGATTGCTGAACAAAAAGACAGGGGTGCTGTTTTAGAAAAAAATTGTGGCCTCTGCTGAATTGGCCTTCCATTGCATATTTGTTGGGAATGGAATTAATTTTAACCATTTCAACTTCAATGCAAGCTGTGTGGCATTTTGCAATGATGTCATTCCCTGACCAGAACAAAGAAAAGACTAGGTATTGTGGTAAGAATATGTTGGTTGACACAAATTGCTGGTAAGATGTTGGAACTTCGTAGTAAAGTGCTTTCTCCTACTGACTCGAATCCTGATCAACTTGATGGATGTGTGGTGGGTCTTATGCCCAGGCAGGCTGCATTGCATAATCAGTCTCAAGGTTCATGTTACAGTCCCACAGTTCAAGATCATGCCGTTCATGGTTGCATGATTACACAATTCATTGTGCAGGTCACATCAGGACTGCTGCAAAGTATATATGTAGAAGGGATAGCTATTATTTCTGTCCTGTTGTTATTTTTAGTACCCATCCTATAGCTTCATATTATGTGCACCAGGATTTCTGTTTCCCCAGCCCACCACTCTATACTCCCCACATTTGCACCCCCAGCTATGTGCTCACTGTTTAAGCTGAAATAACTGAAAGCCCAACCTTGAGAACATTACTTCTTTTGTACCACAACTCCTAGAACTGAATAAATGTTCTACAACTCTCTGTTTCAGAGTTGGGGCAAAGTCCAAAAATTAATTTTTTTCCAAGCTATGCTTAAAGAATATTATGAAAGCAGATGAAAAGCATCCTGGATATTTGTATTCACTGCCATACACATGCAGATACATAATATAGAATTATCTACCATCAGTGCTCATTTAGTTGTCATGCAATTCCAGTAATTCAGAGACCTCACTACTAATTCCTGATCTATGAATTAGGAATCTATTTCCTCAATTTCTTTATTCATTTGCTTGCTTTTCTGGACATTCTTTATACTGACAAGGAAGTTATACATTATTTACGGGGTGTATATGCTTGGTGAGCATAAGGTTCTATTTTTCCACACATCAAATATGGAATCATAAACTTTCAGTGTTTGTCTCTCGGGACATATGTATTGTAATGGGAATGTTTCTCACAGACAGACAATTAGATTTTGTCTCCTGTGCTTCACAAGCTAAATGGAAGAGTCTTCTGTATCAGTCACTCTAGGCTGATCTCACCCCATATGTTCTTTCAGGTGGACATAATGCTGCCAAGTCTGCAGCATCTGGTCCCCTAAGGAATTATTCCTGTGATGTCACAAAGGTAGGACAGACACTGTAGTAAGAGAGAGCTCAGTATCTCTGCTGACAGGACTTATGCAACAAGAAGTCTCATGAGTCTTGGCGACAGTGCTCCACACCTTGCGTTACTCCAATGACTCAATAGGCCAAATGACATCGCAGCCAGGAATGAGAGGAAAGGACTACAAAGAGAGGCAAGAGGTGCATTCTTTTCGGCCTCTTTTGCCATCATAAGTGGCATATGCACAAGCATCTTCACACTGAGCCAATAGGCCCTGGCAGTCCTTGGGAACAGGTTGCAATGGGCACACAGGATTTAAAGCAACAACATTCAGACAATCTCATTCTCCAGTTCTGCTTGCCCTGAGATTTACCTTGCTGACTAGACACCTAGAGAAGCACTGTATTTCCCTCAGATTTCAACAGAAGCCCTGAGAAGACATATAACTTGCCCACATTTCCCACTGGATATTGTCTGTCCTATTTTCTGCCTCCATTTCAGAGCAGTCCTAGCTATGCAAGAACACAATCAAGATCTTTAGATCTCTCTAGCAAAATAGCCGGGGTGGGTTGGGGTGGGGAGAGAGACCAAGACAGAGAGGGAAGGAGGGAGAGAAACAAAGATGTCCTATATTGAACCTGACAAGTACTTATATTAGGAATACATGATTGTGAATTCATCCTAAAAATTCCCAGCTAGGAATCAGATCATATGAGCATTTTATTTAGCAAAAATACACCATGTATTTGCACAAGAGGTCCTTGCTTTTTCACCTGTTTCAACAAGGTATTTTGCCCAGAGCTTGAAACAGTTGGTTTAACAACAACCACCACCACCACCTTTGAACTGCAGAGCTGGTACTCTACGGATCATCAAGTCTAGCCCCTCATGAAGAGGCACCGTGGGGAATTGAACTCCCAATCTCTGGCTCCGCAGCAAGAGACCTAAGCCACTGAGCTATTAGACAAGAAAATTCCAATTTCCCCAGCTGAATTTCAGTCATGCTATCAGAAGCATGTTGGGAGCTGTGATCCCAAAAATCCTTTTTCTGACTTCAGCATATAAGAGAGGATTTGGCACTGTGGCTCTTAGAGTGCCCTTGGTTTTAACTGGAATCCACTAATGGTTTTTTTCTCTCTAGAAAATTAGATTTTTCTACTGATTGTGAATACAAGGACACACATATATTTATATGGGAAACTGTTTGGCTGTCAAGCAATGTATAATAAAAAATTTCCTCCTCTCTAATTAACCACGTTGTCTAGGAATTCTGGTGATAATCAAGATTTCAAATCTTTTCATTTTGCAAGAGAAACTTACTGTAGAACATTTCTGCCTGGCTCCTTCTTTTTGATCTGGTGATGCTTTAACCACATGTTTTGAAATTAGAAAAGTAATTTCTGAACCATGAACAGGGGGTTTCCTTAGATGAGTGTGTTCTGGACTTCTTACATTGTTCTACATCATAACAATGCCTTTGAGAGGGGAAATGACTTATTTAAAAGTGGATGAAAATAAGCACAACTGAGCCAAACTTCCCTTTTTAAAAAACTCCCGTCTCTCTCCTATTTTTAAGGAAAACATGCTTGAATTCAGAAACATCTTGCTGTATGGCCTTCAAAAGGAAGATTCATGTGCAGAAGGTAAGCAGTAGGAGACGATGACCAACCTCTCCCATTAGTCACTGAGGCAGACTTCTTGTTTTTGATCAGGAGAAACAGTTTCTGGGCACCAGACATGTGCTGACAGAGCAATATTTCCAGAGTGCAAGGTGTATGACTAGTTTCAGAACTTAATTTAGTCCTCAGCCTAGTAGGGACAGCAAGTAACAGGGCCTGCTCAAACAAAAACTGTAGTAACTGCAGGACAAAATATATGCTATTGTAGCTTTATGAGGGAACTCTTGGACATTTATGTCTGCAAATCTTAAATGTGTGCATTGTGACTGCCTGGGGGTTGGGAGAGGGAGAGAGACAGAGCGAATTATTCATTTTGGACACAGTTCCTAGAATTGTAATTATAGCCTAAAATAGCATCTTGGGGCTACTCTTAAAACCAGCATTCTCTATGGAGGATCAAATATCAGCTGTGGCCAAGAGTGTCTTCTATCAACACTAGTTGATCTCCCAGTTACGCCTCTACCTGGATAAGAAATGCCTAATATTGACAGTTCATGCACTGGTAATCTCAAAACAGACTGAGGTAAAGCTCTCTACATAAGGCTGTCCTTGAAAACAGTACAGAAACTTCAGCACATTCAAAACATGGCTGCCAGATTGGTTTCTGAGCCTAATAAATGTGATCATATATCCCCAGTCTTGGTGCACCTTCATTGACTCTTTGTCAGTTGTTGTGGCAATTTCAAGGTGCTGGTTATGACCTATAAAAGCCCTTAGTGGTTTAGGACCTCGATACTTATTTGAATGTCTCTCTCAGAATTCAGCTTACACATTTCAATTGCCATTCTCAGTCCATGTTGCTAAAAGTGACTATACTGAGGGAGGGCAAAAAGGCAATGACAAGGAATCAGGCCTTTCTGGTGGTGGCCCCCAGTCTTTGGAATAAGTTACCAACTAAGATACACCAGACTCCTTCCCTCCTCATGTTCAGGAAACTGGTGAAAACAGAATTGTTGAAAGCTGCCTCCAACAACTGATTCTCCCCGATACTGTTAATGGGTTTATATCTCTCTCTCTATATATATGAAACCTAGACCTACAGCATTAGATCACCATTTTTTAAAATGTATTTTGTTATGCGGGGTTCTGTGGGGCTTAAGATTTAACCTGTAAACCACCCAGAGCAATGCTTGCAGTAATGGGGCAGTATATACAACAAATAAATATCAAACAAAATAGTAGAAATCCCAGGTTATGGCAAAAGGAGAGATTCTTCTCAATTGCTCTCAATTGCTTCCCACTACACAATCAAGGCACATTTTAAATTCCATTCCCCTCTCACCACAAATGTTTTCCAAGGAGATGGGTGAGAGCGGCTTCGGTGAAACCACAATGCACCCATGGTGTCTGCTTAGAATTCCTAATGCAAATATTGCAATCTGTTGGGGGATAGTGACTTGTGAGCTTGCATCCCAATAAATTCTTAATGTATAATTGGGTATTGAAAATATCAATGGCATTTCTCTTGCATGTTAGTCTGTTAACTGATGTGCAAGACAATCTGGAACTTGGACTGCAACTTTGTGTATAACCAAGAGATCAATAGGCCATATGTTGACTTTATAACTTGCTTTTGCATTATCCTTTGATGCTTGTCAATATCTTAAGACTCTGAGGTCAAATTAGACAATACATTTAGCAATGTTTATTAGAAATGATCCATGGTTTGGTGAAGGACTCCTATTTATCCTAGCATTGTGGGGGGGAGGGTGTTTCCAAGCACATGTCTGGTGTTTTGTGCACTTTCTTTTATGATTGATCACTGGAAGGCAAATGTGGACTTAATTTATCATACTGTGGAAGGAAAAATAGACTAACTGCAGAGAATATGCATTCCTCTTAATATCAAGTTTGACTTTCAGCTCTCTGCTCTGTAACACAATCTTCTGTGTCTATTCAGAGTTAAACCCCATGGCATTTAACAAGACTCATCTCTAGGTAACTGAGCATAAGACTGAAGCGTTAGAATTGCATTTCTATAGTCTGTCACATTGGAGATAATCTTGAAGATGTGAGGACAATACACATGTAAAAGAATTAAGAACTCAGACATAGAGACTGAAATCCTGTTGCTTAGCTTAAGAACATTTGTAACTTCTAGCCCATTCCTAATTGGCAAATAAAAAGTCCTTGCCATGTTTCTTGGGGGAGTGTGCGCATGCACCAAGCCAGAGTGTACATAATGCGCTCCTGAGAATTGTAACATCCGCAATTCTATATTTGCCAAGCAGGTATGAACTGAAAGTTGTGGTTCTTCTTACACTGAACAACAGGATTTGAGCCTTGTTAAAATCACTTAGCTCAAGTTCCCAGGCTATGCTGCCTTCGTAAATGGGCCCTTGTACTGAGTAAATTGCTTGCTACTTTATAGCAGTGTTGAAAGCCACAAAATCAGATCTCTGTTCTGGGCATTTGCTACCTAAATGGATTGATCTTGAATAAACAGGAGTCAGTTTTGCAGAATTGGTTCAGAAATAAAGGCCCCAGGACTACATGCATAGACTTGTCTCTGATACTGAGTACAGTAAATGGAAGAAGGCCACTCTCATTTGTTAAAGGGGGTTATCGCTCAATGGTAGTGCACAGGTCCCACATTCAATCTGACATCATTAGGGTGTTTTTTTTTAAAATTCAGGAATTTGATGAAAATAAAGCCCTCAAGGTCAGAATAGATTATATTTGTAGCTCTGTTGCTCCCCCCCCCGAAAAAAATACTCTCTAAAGTGGTCACAGAGATCTTACAGCATGTGATTGTCCTCATCCACAGATACTGCATTTTGTGTGCTTCATTTTGTGTTTGTGGATGGTAAACAAAAACTTAATTTGCAAGTCTGATTGGTAGAGCAAGTATCTCTGGGAATATTCCATCCTAGGAGGAAAAACAGATTAATTACAAGAACTATGCATTCCTTCTGGTATCTAATTTGACCTTGAGACACCAGTAGGACAGGCTGCCAGAGTGGGCAATACTGAACAAGACAGATATCTGATCTAAAGCAACTTGTTTGCCGCTGCCTTTCTTTGCAGGAAAATCCTCAGAGTATTGAAACCTCTACTGGGTCATGTCCCAAGATATTTCAATGCCTGATGCAAGGGCAAAGGCAGTGTTTCCCCACCCACGATTCCATGTAGAGAAGCTGACTGAACTGGCAACAGACGCTTTTGTCAGTGTTAGCAAGGGAGCAGGGTTTCCTACTATACTTGAGAGCTGTGAGACAGTTTAGGGGTTTAGGGGCAGAGGTACTGGCTGTGTAATACAGAAAAGACTGAGAGGGTTCAGGAGAAACAGGTACCATTCCTGCTTTCCAATATAAGCCTTTTGTTTTTAACTGTGAGCCTGGCCCGTATGTCACATCTGTATTGTTAATTAATACAGATCACACAAAAATAAGTGACATGTATGTTTTCAAACCAGTTTGTGAGTCTGTCACTGTGGTGGTGGTGGGTAATTCAGGCCTAACCAACCCAAACAAAGTGTATCATCTGCTGTCCATTCTGCGAACTCTGTCATATGCCATATGATTCATGTTTCTATGAAGAAAAATCCTGCCATTGCTGGGAAACCAGATCCCTTACTTGCATGTCTTTCCGAACACCAACACAGAGTTTAGTTGCGTTCTTGAATCAGGTTCAAATGTGCCAAAAATGAAACGAGTGAAAGAGGTCATGTATATCTATTTGCAGTCTGCACTCAACAAAGTACTTGAACTCATGACAGCTCTAATTGGCGCCGGGAAGATCACATTGGTATGAGGGCTTCCACTGCTCCAAGTGCCCAAAGGATTATGCTCTCAACATCGACATGCACAGGGCTGGCCCAAGACATTTTGCTGGCAAAGGCAGAACAGCAGATTCAACATACTGAGTACCCAAAGCCAGCCAAACACTTGAGGCACAAAACCCAACAAACACCTTTCGCAATCCCCACAGCATACCTTTTTTTAAAAAGTATATAATTCTCCAAATATCCCGGCTACCATAGATACTAGCCACAAATGGATTTGGGCAGATATAGTTAAAAACATTTTTCCTCAGCTTTGCTGCTGCTGGCTGCAGAGATGCAATCACTCATCCAGTATCTAACACTTTCCTGCCCTTTCACAACAGAGGGATGTCATACGGGTGAAACACTGTAATTTTACCAAGACTGGGTAAGGCAAGGGTTTGGAGGAACTGTTGCAGGATAAGCTGACTGTGGAAATGTGCATGAGGAAAAGATGGGTATTTAAGTCCTGAATCCAGAT